GAAGCACCAGTGTCAATTATCCAAGTATTAGAGCCAGTACCTGGAATAGAGTCAGAAACACGCAAATTTGCAGAAGCAGTACCAGCACCAACAATAGAATTATCACCCATGATTGTAGCAGAAACTCAACAAATCACGCAGGGTATACAATAGATCACAACACAGACACAAATATGGCAGATGCACGAAGACAACAGAGGCACAAACACAGTAGAGGTAGATGCACGAACACAGTATAGGCACGCAGTAAAGGCACGAACACGACAGAGCACAAGGCACAAACACAGTAGAGGCAGATGCACGAACACAGTAGAGGCACAAACACGACAGAGCACACAGCGGAACACGGCAAAGGCACAGACACAAGAACCCTAAAAGAAATTAGGGCACACAGTAGAACACGGGTGGGCACAACACACACAGGTCACCAGAAACTAGGCTCTGATACCAAGTCAAACAATATGGGTAGAATATTTTCAGATATATTTCATTCTCCGAAAGGAGGTATTTATAATACAGGTTACAAACCCTAGTAGGGTTTAATTAGGAAATAAGTGGAATTCTAATTACATAATATCTATATAAAAGGAAAAATAAATAAAACCCAAATAAAATAGGATATATTCTACTCGCCAACAGATTTCACTTAAACAAGAAATGCCGATAATCCCACATTGCAGGAAATAAGTAGAAATAATTTGGGGAGATTAATTGGAGACCTGTAGGAACCAAAACTTTGATATCAAATTAGGTAATCATGTGTCCTCCAAAAGATTATACTAGAAGGAACGAGTACAATAATCATAATAACAAGCGAGTTTTGTTAAAATTAAAAATGGAAATCATATTGAATTTTGTTTTGATTAAAGAAAATCTGACGTGACTATATACCGTGTTAATTTTGGACATTTCAAGTGTGTTGACTCTATGAGAATGTGCTAAAAAATGAAATTTCATAAAAAGCCTAGAGCACCAGTTTATGTACCCAATTTTCTGCAAATTTATTTTGTGAGAACTTGGGATACACTTTTTACGAAGCTAATGTACTTGAAAGCCTAGTTAGCATTTTCCCGTTTAATACTAGTATTATATATGTATATATTTTTCAATAATATTTCCGTTTTTCATACACGTCTTAAAGATTTGGTAAAATACACATTTTTTTAAAAGCAAACACACAATACACATATTATACACGTACATACATATTTTTCACATTTAATACACGTATTTTTTTTTTTTACAAATTTTTGAATATACATAAAATTCACTTATTTTTCACATAGTATTGAATAAAAAGTATATAGTAACCGAACTTTTTAGTTGTATCTTGCTAAAATTTTGCCCAATAAAAGACGTAAGTATTTTTATTCATACTTTTTCCCTTTTTAGCCTTCAATTTTAATGGTTTCTCCAAGGAGCTGCCGTTAAGCATTGTTGTTGTTCTTTCTACTTGAAAAAAAAATGAAGAAAATGAAGGGGCGAAAGAAAGAGCCAAATGATGAAATTCAAGAATCTTCAAGTTTGTGGTGAAATTCAAGAACCTGCAAGTTTCTGAGCCAAAAGATATGCAAGCTTTCAGTTCCAACAGCAGCCATCCCTATGGCATTTTCGTCGCGGTAGAGAAGAGAGGTTTCCCAGATGATGAATCGCTTCCCATTCCGATTCCGATTCCTCAGGTCTCGATTCTTTTGAATGTCCTCATAAGCTACAACACTAATTCTGATAATACTCTGCGCACCAGAGCTTACGATGCAAGACTCGAACTTGATCATCCTTTTCACTCATTACAGTCCCATTCACGAGATATTATATCAAACATGATCGATGTAATGCGCATTCCCTTCCCATTAGACCGGCTCCGATGGAAAACGCAGCGTTTTGGTGGCGGCAACACAGAGCCACTTGAGAGCGTTGAGGCTATGGTAAGCAAAATAGCGCTTGTGGTTAGTGCCATGGTGGAGAATCACGCGGCTCCTGGACTTAATAAGAAGCTGGGCATTCTTTTTACAATTGAGAAGGTGATTCCAATTTTTGCACACAATCTGTTTGATGAAATGCAGCAGTTGGAGGTTCAGGCCAGGGAGCTGAGGGATGAGGTGAACTCACGAATACTGACCAACGATGCTCTGCTTGCACTTTCTTTACATGGTGCTTCACAAGTCTGGGAGGGTTGGGCACGGGAACTGAGGGAAGACTGGGACTCGATTATGTTATCAGATAGTGTTGTTATGCTTTCTGCTGATGATATTCATAAATTGGAGGAGTCTCGAGATAAACTATTGAGCCTTCGGGACACTGCAGTGAGATATTGTAGAGTCCTGCGCCTACTCTTAAATCTACTGGGACTATACACAGGGGATACCGACGATGGCACATTGATGGAAGAGGCTTTGAGAGAGTCATTAAATCAAGAAATGTTCAGCCCAATGCCTGCAACCAGAGCATCAGTTGAGGCCTTGGATAAGTTTGTGTTTGATGGTTCGAGCAGCGATCAACATTGTGTGATTTGCTTGGAAGGGATGTTGAGTGGGGATCAAGTCACTTGCTTGCCATGCTCTCATATGTTTCATGCTAACTGCATTGAACAATGGTTGAGGTATGGTCATATCTGTCCTCTGTGTGGGTTCAAATTGCCAACTGATTCTTGATACAGATACATGGGATGGGATGATTGTTGTGAGAGTCCTTCAGCTTTGAATTTCACTTATTTTCTAGAATTTCTGCAGTTTCCGTTATCTACCTGCGAACGTTAATCTTTTGCAATTCCAGACATTTGGGATTGTTACAGAATTTGTGTATAGATATATCTCAGTTTTCTATGGCCAGAAAGAAATTACAATCATTCCTGCATAGAAAGAAATTACAATCATTCTTGCATAGAAAGAAATTAATCCATTGATGCAACTACTTAACAAAAAGCCTCTCACATCTCTCTTCTTTATGTGCACAAACTTTCTGAGTTAATTAAAAATGGAGGTTTTCAATCAACAGTCAGCATGGCCATGAACATGGTGCATTTGTGATGGGAGAGAATTTTCAGTCAAATTTTAGCTCTCTGTCAAATATTTCAGTCAAACTTAACGATTCTTTGCCGACATGGGATGGGATAACTGAGCCCTGCTCTTGAGCTTTGAATTTCAATTCTTTAATTTTTCAGAATTATGCAGTTTAAGTTAATCTAATTCCATATACATGGGGTTGGGATTGTATTTGTGGTAAATGGGATGGCTAGTCTTAGTCAAACTTTGGGTTTCGGTTGCAAGTTCTTTGGCAGCCTCCTTCTTTATGTGGCAAAAGTTGTGCTTGTGCTTGGATTTCACTTAAACAAGAAATACCCATAATCCCACAATATAGGAAAAAAGTAGAAATAATTTGGGGGAGATTAAAACCTCTATGAAATTTTGATATCATGTTAAGTTATCACATGACCTCGAAAAGATTATGGTATCAAGGAATGATGAGTATAACAATGTATATCATACTAACAACGAGAGTCTCGTTAACTACTTGTCATTACTAATTGCAGTGTTTTAAATTTGGAATTTTCGAGTGATTTTCATGATGTTCGTTCTAATGATCATTCTAATGCTACTTTCTAAAAACGTGCTAAAAATGAAATTTTATAAAAACCATTAGCACCCCAACATGTTTCCAAACGATTCTGTTGGAGTAAGTAAACATATTTATTTTCATGATGTTTCCGATTAACATTCTAATGCTTGGTTCCAAATTGTATTAAAACTAAAGATGGAAATCTAATGAGCTTGGGAATTTCAACCATGTAAGAATGTGCTAAAAATGAAATATCCTAAAAACCTTATAACCCCAATTTATGTGCCCAATTTTCTCCAATTTATTTTGTGAGAACATGGGAGACTATTTTTTATTTTATTTTATTTGGCAAAAGAAAGGCAAAAAAAAAAATAAAAAAAAAAAATTAACGTAAGTCAAGTTTATGTTGTCTATAAATAAATACAATTTTTATTTTAGATTTTAGTCATATATATATATATACCTGCGAAATTCGAGAACCTGCAAGTTTCTGAGCAAATATGCAAGCTTTCAGTTCCAACAGCAGCCACGACTATGGCATTTTTGTCACGGTAGAGCAGAGAGGTTTCTCAGATGATGAATCGCTTCCCATTCCCATTCCGATTCCTGAGGTCTCGATTCTTTTGAATGTCGTCGTAAGCTACAATGTTAATTCAGATATTTCTTTGCCCACCAGAGCTTACGATGCAAGACTCGAACTTGATCATCCTTTTCACTCATTCAAGTCCAATTCACGAGATATTTTATCAAACATGATCGATGCAATGCACATTCCGTTCCCATTGGACCGGCTTCGATGGAAAACGCAGCGTTTTGGTGGTGGCAACACAGAGCCTCTCGAGAGCGTTGAAGCTATGGTAAGCAGAATGGCGCTTGAGGCTAGTACAATGGTGGAAAATCATGGAGCTGCTGGACTTAACAAGAAGCTTGGCATACTAGTTACAGTTGAGAAGGAGATTCCAATGCTTGCACACCAACTGTTCGACGAAATGCAGCAGTTGGAGGATGAGGACAGGGAACTGAGGGATGAGGTGAACTCGCAAATAGAGACATATCATGCTCCGCTTGCACTTTCTTCGGGTGGTATTGAACTCCTTTTGGCCCAAACCATAACAAGAGAGAAGCCCATCAAAGACATGATTACAGTCTGCAGATCACAGTTAAAAACAGTGAACATGTAAATAATACACCCGGTGCAACAAAACACAAAGTAACCTTATCTTTTTGGGGTCAATATGTGTGCATATTGAAAGACATTAGCAGGGTGAAAGACAAAATGTGTGCGTATTGCTTGGAACAAAGCAATATGTAAATTTGAAACAATGATCTCTCCAAACTGTAGAAGAGTTCCAAGTCATCTTAGCCAATAATGAATTAGTGAAAAGAAAAAAACAAAGGTTTTTAAGCCAAGACATTGACTCACAGAGATGGCCGGAGGCACTCCAACAAGTGGATCTTGGAAAAATCTGTTTGCAAGGGCAAGGGCCAGAAGACTGCTTTGCATTCCTGCAAAAGTGAAAAATTTGTTAGTTTCATAAATTCCTATAGAATTATGTACTGATAAGGCCAAGGAGGAACCTGTCTCATAGGATAGTGTTCTTTGTAGTGCTTTGACATCAGGTGTCTTATGAAAGACCATGCCAGTAAGGAAATACCCAGCTACAAAAGCGGTCAAATGAAATGCGATAATAAGCAATAAAATGGTTAGTCCAAAAGGAGACATAACAGACTCAATGTTAATGGCAAGTGGAGTGGTGCTCCAACACAGCAAGCTGTAACTAATACAGATAACGGAGGCAAAAATGGCCGAATAGCATCACATATTCGGGGAAAGAACCTGAAGGCGAATTACATAAGACAAGTCAGAATCTCTACAAGTGAACATTGGGCTAAAAGAATGTTATTCAGAGTTGGTGTATCACCGGTTCAAAAGCAAGCCTGCAGCAACTGGTGTAACTACTATCTGCAGAATGCTGGACACCATTCCCTTTACATCAACAGGCAGTCTCTTTCCGATGAGCAAGAGTGATAAGAGTGGTGTGATAAATACTGCAGTAGCATGGTAGTCATTATAAAAGGAAACTCATACACAGACATCAACCAATTCATTAGCAAAAAAGGTTTATTATTCGCCAAACTCTTTTCCTAAAAGGAAACTAATACTGATTGAGTAATGAAATTGATTTCTTTTCCAAGAATAAACGAAAAATATGAAACAAATAATCCTAATCCTAGTCAGATTGAGACATGGATCACCAATGCATAAAAGGTAGAAAACCAAAAAGAGTAATATCACCTCAAAGTGAATAAAATCTTTTCAACATATAGCTCTTCTCTCTTTATGACCTAAACATGCAGGCTTTCAATCCCAACACGAATGACCATGACTATAGTGTCGTTGTGATGGTAGAAAACAGAGGCTTCCCAGATGATCAATCCCTTGTGAAATTTCCTCAAGTCTCAATTGCTTGGAATGTCTTCAAGAGCTACTGTAAACCGCATATCCTTCTCATATAGTGTATAGCCAGGACTTGGATCAAAGCCTGGGCCTATACGAGATCTCCTGGGTTGAGATGCTTCCCGTAGAAGACCTGCACACTCAGAACAACTATCAACCCAACACGAATGACCATGACTATAGTGTCGTTGTGATGGTAGAAAACAGAGGCTTCCCTGATGATCAATCCCTTGTGAAATTTCCTCAAGTCTCAATTGCTTGGAATGTCTTCAAGAGCTACTGTAAACCGCGTATCCTTCTCATATAGTGTATAGCCAGGACTTGGATCAAAGCCTGGGCCTATACGAGATCTCCTGGGTTGAGATGCTTCCCTTAGAAGACCTGCACACTCAGAACAACTATCAGAATAGGAATGAACTGGGGTTGTACCCAGTTAAACCCCCTCCGATGGTGAAGTTAGGTGTGGTTGTACGGTGGAGAGAATGAATGTAGGGTTTTTACAATAAGAATATTTATTACCTTTGTCCTGATGTAGGTGAAGGGTATTTATAGAGGGGAGAGAGACAAAGATATCTTAAGGAGGAGATATTTATCTCTTCTCTCCCAAGTGGGACTGGAGTACAATAAATGACCTATTCCTAATTACCATGCTATCTGACAGAGATTGTGTGACAAAGCAACATGTGGCTTGGGATGGGATCTTCCTATGAAAACCTGGCTATGAGTTGTAGATCAAACGCCAACTTCTCCAATGCCCTCGACCAATTGCACAATTGAGGCGTCATCCATCGTCCCAAAAACACAATTCAAGCTCACAGGGGACAGCGTGGTAATTATCCCATCCCTAACGCGGAAGAGTTTTTGCAGAGCATACTAGAGTTGGACAAGACCAGCAGAAACGCAAAGGTTGTAATCCTTTATCAGTAACTCCCACTCTTTCTTGAGTGCCCTGGCCTTGATCTCCTCTTTCATAGCTTGGTACTCTTTCATGACCCTCTCGTGGTCATGGCGGTTGCCACTAATAGTGACAATCTCTATGTGCTTCGTTCGTTCATGGAAATTGATGGAGTAAATTATGATACTAATAGTGAGTAGTGTGTGGTCTGCATGGAGAAGACGTTGAGTGGAGAAGAAGTCACGTGCATGCCATGCTCTCATTTGTTTCATGCAGACGTTGAGTGGAGTAAATCATGTTGCTATATATAGCTTGATTGGAATGTGTTGTGAGTGAATCCTTGCAAACATGATGTTATTGAAGGACTTAAACCAACCAACCAATGATGTGTAAATTGGATTGAACTTAGTCTTTGGTGTGCTCCCAAGTGATTTGGGTGTTCATATTCCATGATATCCGCAATGCGCGTGACATCATTATCATTTGATTTGAAATTCAAATTTCAACTTAAGCCAATTCAGACATCATTATAATTTCATTGTTCAACTATCAGGGAAAACCACCCTTTGAACTTTACTTCTCATAGAAAGACTTGAATTGCCGAAATCTTTGATTTCATAACATCTCCTAATCAAATTCAAAATTGAAGTCGTGAACAAACTACAACCCAAACTTAATTTTCATTGTTGATTTTAATTTTTTTTTTTATTTTTATATCAAAAGATATGAGAATTCCTACTTTTAAGGAATTCAAATTTTTTTTCTTCCCCCATTCGAAATTCAAAACAACGAAACATATCATTGTCATTGTTGATATATAGATCCAATTG